ACAGGGCTGAGCAAGAGCAAGCAGGGTTAAACAAGGGTAAGCAGGGGCCAGCATGGGTCAGTAGGTGTGAGATGGGGTTAGGAAGGAAAAACAGGGGTCAGCAGGGATCAGCAGGGAACAGAAAGGGTGAGCAACCACAGATCATTACAGATTTTGGCAAAAATTTACAAAAATTTGACTCACATGGAGCATAGAACATGACCATGATTGGTTTCTTCTCTTTTGTTGTCAGTTTGACAAATTCCTGAAAAACAGAAAAAAACATTTTTTCATGGAAATCAATTTTCCTGCCCTGATCACTTAACATCAAGTATCTGTAACTCTGAAGATTTTCAAAAGTTTTTTTATACTACACAACTTACACTACTTGTGTGAACATGTCGTACATCCTCTGTGCCTTCTTCTTCTTCCCAAGGCATTTCTCCCGTAGGATCATTCATAAAGTTTAACATTGACTGCAGAAAATTTTAAAAATTGGGTAAATGTTGCGATAAATATAAGATTAAAAATGAGGGTTGCTTCTTATTAACTTTTCTACTAAAAGTACAAAAACAACATAAACAATACCATGATAAAATCAATGATTTCACTCACCTTAACTGTGTTCCTCCTATCATAATCTTTGTTAAAATCCCCATCTCTGTGAAAAGGGGAACATTTAACTTATATTAATATTTAAAAAAAATTAAATAGTACACCTGTCCATGCAATACCAAGAGTGTTTGGAAACATAAGGATTGAAGAAATGAAGATAAAGGAAGAACAGAAGGAATGTGTTCCAAGTAATATAATATATAGATTTAGCCAAGCCTAAAAGTGGAGCGCGTATTTTTTTTCCTGCATGTCTCAAGGGCACAATGCCTTGCCCCAGCCAGGACTAGAACCTGGGTCTTCTGACTCAGAGCCCAGTGCACTGACCACTGGACTACTAAACAAAGCCGTAGCATTGGCATGCCTGCGGTACATTTGACCACACATGTTAAAAGTAGTATCTTGTATGATCGTATGGTGATACGGTCGTACATCCAAATATTTCCGGCTTGATGGGTTACTACTATTTTGTATAATTATGGGGCTAAGCTCTGCAAGCTCCACTAAAATAGGCTGATTGGGGTGGTATGGATTTGAGGTAACAAAGTTGGACAGGGTGAGAAGGTGATGAGAGGATAGGATGAATTCCAGATGGAGAAGTGAACACAAAATTGTGCCTTAGCTTAGAATAATCATTGGGTACCTGATGTAAAAGCAAAGTTATCGAAGACATCCCGACAAAGTGAGGATGGGATTATTTAAAAAAGTTATTATGGCTAAATGGACTGAGTTATATATAACACCAGTTGAGGGTGTGGAAGATCAGTAGGATGCTTTGGATTCAGGGGGAGAAGGAGTTAGTCAATAAGACATGGGAAGGGGGGGTGGGTAAGTACATGAACAAAGAAGCACGAGAAAAAGGCTTAGGAGGTGAGTATGTGGGAAGATGATGTCAGTAGGGAGGTAGGGTGAATAATAGATGAAGAGAGTGGGGGGGGAGTGTAACATAAAATAAAGTGGAAAAGAAGAGGGGTATGGTTTGTAAAATAGTGGAAAAAGTGGCAAGCCTTGGAGGAAAGCAGAGTATAAAAGGAGACAGGAGTCAGTGAAAGGGAAGGGTGGATAATTGCAAAATTCTAACAGGAAGTAAAGGAAAGATGTAATTTGAGTGCAAAGCAAGCAGCAGGATGAGTAATGAAACAACAAGGTGGTTGAACTCACTTGTAATGTTTTAACACCACAGGTTGAGGAGAAACTCTGAGCTTCTTGCACATTTTTTTTGTATCTTTGCTTTCTCTGTAAAAATACAATTATGATAATTGATTAGCTCCCCCTGTGGAGAGAAAATTATCTCAGTCTAAAGGTATCCTTCTTAAAACTATTGCTTTTCATTCTGAAATAATATGAAAGGGAGATAGGCAAGGTATAGAGGAGCAGCTCATGACGATAATCTTGGGCAGAATAAATATAAAATTAAGTACATCCTCTACCAATTTCAATCAACCCCTTAAAAACTCCCAAGATCTTAGCATTCATTCTCCCCTGTAGCTGCTAGACATTTCCTTGTAATTAGTTACTGGTATGTGAATTTGGTATTAGATCAAGATAACAGCTTCTAACTGAAAATTTTGAGTATTCTCATTCACTGTTGCTGGATAGTATACAGATATTACTGGGAGAGATTACATATTAATCACTTTTGGGAGTTAAGAGATTGATTGCCATCTGGGTAATGGGACTTTTTATCATTGTTCATTTAATCTTATTCTCTCCATGATCAGGGGAAGTCTATCAAAGCTGGTGAAACTGTGAAAATAAATTGAGAACAGATTTCTAAGAACAAACCTTAGCCCCAAGGTTTTATAAGAATGCAAATAAAAAACAAGAATGAAGAGTAACTCAAAAAAAAATACAGTAAAGTCCTCCTAATTTAAATCAATTCATGTTGATTAAAATATTTAAATAATACAGCCTCCTGCTGACCAATTAATACTCACCCACAATTTATGTATGCAACAGTCCCCCTGCCTTTAATTTCTTCTGCAACTCGTGCCAAGACTTCAAATCGACTTGACGCATCACGTTCTACAAAATATTTTATCTTTTGTCACCGCAAAGCATAATTTTTCAATAACCTGTTCTGTGAGATTTTTTGGTTTCCAGGGTTACAATATTCGGAGCTGAAAATGCACCAAATATTGAAAAAGGAAAGGAATTGTAAACACATAATAGTATGGGAGCGAGAGCACACGCAATCAGGTCTTATCAATATTTAGTTAAGAGTATCAGGTTGATGCATCTCGCTTTCCAAGCAGTTGCATTCGAAAACAGAAATAATAGCAACGTTTCAAAAGAAAATATTAATATCAGCTGTACACACTGAATCGTGGTAACTGAGTGACGAAATTTTGTAATTGTAGGATATAGTTCCCATAGTGAAATTTTCAAGCACATTATTTCCTAAGCAAGAGTAAAAAAAGCAACAAATCAACACCAGCTGATTTATTTCCTGTGCATTCCTACAAGCAGTGCATCGCACAGAATCCTCTGTAAAGTACCTACCGCTTTGAGCAAATAAAACAAGCAAATTGGTATGGGTCCTTTGTAATTTCTTGAATGGCTTAATATCATTTATTTCTATGATGGAGCTTTTGTCAATTTTCTTCTTGGCTTGCTTGGAGAGACCCACGACCTATCCAGTTAAATTAATACAATGTTGCAAGGTTAGATTCACAGATAATTGAAAATGATTAGCTATTAGCGATTTACTGTAACTAGCACTTTAAGAGAAAAAAATGGCAACCAACATAATCTTTTTCAAAGAAGAACCATAAAGGATACTTACAAACACAAGCCATATAAAGCTGTTGAACCAAAAATTTTTCTTCGCCATCTTACTGGCGAAAATTAAAATTACTTATCGGTTACAAGTTCCAGAAAACTTGCAAATTCGTAATAATGTGTAGTACGATGTTTTGCCACGTGTGACTGGAGACTGGGTTCAGTAGATTCTACGCACAGGACCGGGGAGGGTATAATAAACATATCCATTTTAATTGGCTACTTGAAACAGAAGAAAGCTATTATAAACCAATAGAAATAATTCTTTTATTCAAAGGAAGGCTCACAACGTCAGTGTATATGACCAGCAGTTTTATGACAAATATCAATAAAACAAGATAGTTTATTGGATAATATATTCCAGAACTGTCCAATCAGATTTGTCTTTGTTGCAGTCAAGCGATCGTAACAAAATGGCAGACGAGAAAGAAACCCTTGTTGGGAGCACTGTTCGTTCTGCTTCATACAATGTCATTGTGCAGGTTACATTTAGGATACTCACCTTTGTAATGAATGGCATCCTCTTACGCTACACCACGAAAGATATGATCGGAGTTGTGAACGTGCGACTGATGCTTCTCAATCAAACTATCGTCTTCGTTGCTCGCGAGGCATTCCGAAAAGCGTGTCTCAGCAAGTCAGCGGATAAAAGATGGACTCAGGTCATTAACCTTCTCTGGTGTGTGTTTCCTCTTGGTGTTGTATTGTCTGTCATCCTCAGTTATGTGTGGTTGTACTATCTAGAGATTCCTGATCCAGTTAAAATTGCAAACTACCCGTTAGCAGTGTTGGTTTTTGCAGCCAGTGGGTCAATCGAACTTTTGTCAGAGCAACTGTGGGTCGTTGCTCAAGCGTTTGTATTTTTGCGCCTTAAAGTTGTCATAGAAGGCATCGCAAACTTTGCACGATGTGTCATCACTTTGGGACTGGTAGTTTTTGTACCAGATCTTGGGATCATTGCATTTTGTATTGCACAAACGGCATTTTCAGTTTTGGTAATGGTTTTATACTACGTATATTTCATATACTATATCAAAACCGCCCCCAGATATCAAAATAAAGAAGAAAGCGACTTTCCTCTTAGATCTTTGCGAGACTTTTTCCCAAGAACTCTATCAAGGAAGAGTTTTTTAAGTGGGGCACTGGCACATCTTACATGGAGCTTTTTTAAGCAATCCTTCTTGAAAAAGATTTTGACTGAAGGTGAACGCTATATTATGACACTTTTCAAGGTTTTGACATTTTCTCAACAAGGAATTTATGATGTGATTAACAATCTTGGTTCTCTGGTTGCTAGATGTGTCTTTATGCCAATAGAAGAGAGTTATTACACTTTCTTTGCATATACTTTGGAAAGAGGTAGCTCTGCTGAGAAGCAAACACCTCAGTCAGCAAAAATGGCTTCGGATACATTGGAAGTTGTTCTGAAGTTTGTTGTTCTAGTTGGATTGACATTTTTGGTATTTGGCTACAGCTACTCATTCCTTCTGCTTGACATCTATGGAGGGAAAACTCTGAGCACTGGAGAAGGTGATTTAGACATTGAAGTATCACATAATATATCCTGGCTGATGTAACAGCATTGGGGGGTTTTGGAAGGGATAGAAACTGGAGCAAGGAAAGGAAATGGAAAATGTTACTGAAATCAAAATTTGGGTCAGGGTGCATGCTACCAATCATAACTCTTTGACCTCTAAGAGAGACTAGCATCTACATGTAATTTCTCCTGACAATGTCATCCCCAAATCGCTCATTAAGGTCACAAGAATAAAGAAAATGATGACCAACTAAGAGAGCTCTTGATTGTTACTCAAATTCTCCTCATCAGCACCTTAGGAATGTATAGAAAATAGTATACAGAAAATGCATTTTGATGTTAGGATGTAAAGGGTTAATAGCAGTAGCAGTACTTTTTTGAGTGAAATATTTTATGTGAGAATCAGCCATGGAAAGTGCAGTAGGATAGTTTCTTAGCTACCCTATCTACTAGTTACTAATTAATTTTTATGTTCATTTTAGGTCCCTCTCTGCTGCGATGGTATTGTGTTTACGTATTGATTATTGCTGTCAATGGCATGACAGAGTGCTTCATGTTTGCAACCATGAGCAAAGATGACGTTGACTCCTACAATTACAAAATGATGGCATTCTCAGCAGTGTTCTTAGCAGCATCTTGGTATCTCACTATTTTTGGGAGTGTTGGATTTGTCATAGCTAACTGCCTTAACATGCTCCTGCGCATTTATCACAGGTTAGTAAGTTGTTGATTATACTATGCTCCCCTGATTTATTGTATCCCTTCAAAGGTGTTTTGTAAGTAGAGATATTTGAATTTTGGAAACCTGAGCTAAAGTCATTGTCAGAATCAAGTAAATTATGCAGTTCTGATTTAATCATTCACTGAAGCTGCTGAACTGTCCTTTACACCCCACAAGAACACTCCTTTGACTGTTTAATGTTATTGTCCATGTGATAGTATTCCTGAAAAGAACTGTGGTTGGTAAAAGTGACAAACATTTCGAAAACCTCAGCACAAGTCATTTCTAGAGTCTGTGATGATTCAGTAGACAACCTATGTCCAGATGACCACTTTACATGATAGACTTACACTCCCACATCCAATCTGATTACAGAAAAAAAAGAAAAAAAACTATGTAGCTCCTTTAACCAAGTCTTGAGAACATCTCACTTCTTTCTCTATCTTTTGTTTTTCAGTCTTATATTTATCTACAACTATTACAAGTCAGCCCCTCATCTCAAACCTTTACAAGGACTTTTCCCATCACCTCTAGTGTTGATTGCATTTGCCTTGTCCTGGGGCATAACTGCAACATCAGAAGCAAAGCTATGTTGTGAACATGGATGGTATTACCGCATTCTTCACATTGGAATTGGTGGTGTTTGTTTGTTGACTGTGGCAGTGTTTGTTTTCTTAAAGGAAAAAACTTTGGTGAATTTTATGTTGGAACACTGGCTTGGGAGAATAAAAAAGAAAGAGGAGTAGAAGAAATTAATTTTTTGGTTAGCTTGAGCAAAGAGATTCAGTGACTGAAATAAGATAAATTAGAGTGCCACTGAAATTGCAAAACCTCTGCCTTTCTCTCATTCATTTGCAGTAGATCCTGGGATAATTATATCTTGTTGTGCCATTCCTTAAACATGTCTACAAAATAAGATCCAACAGGAAGGGAAAATATGCCCCTATTTCTTTCCTTAATGATTTTGCTAAAATTCAACTGGGAAACTTTTTCATGTGCAAAGTGAAGTTTATTTACACATCCATTATATCAAAACAAATGTTCTTCTGAACGGTGTCATTTTTAATCTGGTGATGTATGTAGCAGTATGGTACCATTCCAGTGTGACTAGACTTTATGATGCATGTAAAGGTAAGAGCTACTCTCTACATCTCTGCTTTAGTCTGGTAACCTACGTGCTAATTTTTCGGAAGTTTACTGTATAACCATATTGAAAACGGTGTATTACAAATGGCTTAAATAAAAATATTTTATGAAAATGTCCTGAAAATCGTCATGGTGGTAGTATTTCTTTATAACCAGGTCCGTGTAAGTTTAATAGGTAATTTAGTGTTAACAACTGAGTTGAAAACGTAAATTGACCACCGTAAAGAGTACTCTTTATATTACCTGTTATACTCTCCCACCGACGAAGCACCACAGTTTCTTTAGAAACTTACCCCCTTTATTCACGTGTAAGTTTAATGATAGGTGTATAGTGTGGTCGTGTAAGGTTCGAGGTGCCAAGCTTTTGAGAAAGAGCAATTTTAATGCAATTTAGAAACGATTGAAACAAATGCTAATAAGTCGCCAGCGTTTTTAGCGATTGATGACGTCCACGTTAACTGATTCTGAGTTCTTTTACTCAACTTTGGTTTAGTTCGTGGTACTCGCTCAAAATGATCTGTTTTGAAGGTAAAAGCACAGTGGTATATTAACGAAGATGTACTCTCAATTACGAGAAGATGGGCAATTCAGTCAAAATAAACAGAGTTGAAGAACATGGGTCACCGTCTTCGTCTTCCGAAAAACCTCAATCTTGTATCTTTCTGCGCCGTCGCAAAGTCAACACAACCTCGATCGGCCAAGATATAGCTATCTGTGTTACGCATACCCAATCCCACCGCTGTTGAACCAAAACTGCTGTCGCACAAGACAAGAAAATCGCTTTCAGCTAACAAGAAATGATCCACTAACATAGCAATAATGCCTTCTGTGGCCATCCCTGTGCCATAAATTGTAGAGTTATTTTCTATTTCTTGAGTAAAATTATATTTTGTGCGGTTTAGGCAATATGCAGTTACATTTAATATTTCGACATTGTAGCACACTAGAGTTGTGTTAGTTTCATCCGTGTAGTTACACTGTGCCGTAAAGTTGAAGATTGTGGTGTTGAAGAGAATATCCAGGTGTAAGATTGTTAAATTGGTCGCGACTACCTTGTGTGGGTAGATTTCTTGAACTAAAGTTCTCACTTGCTCGTTATCAGTGGAGAGAAACCAACGGACTTTTTCTCGTCCGTCTGTCTCGTTTAAAAATAGTTCGTTCTCTACTTTAGTTGCGCACTCGAAGAATTTTGAAACGTTTCTGGCATTCCATGTGCGGACGTTTTCGGAGGAAAAATAATCAAATTGGTCGTCCCCTGTTCGTATGTGTACCCCAATAACTGGCCCTTTATCAAACTGTAACTGTGCTCTCATTTCGTTCAGTTTACTTTCCAAAGCTTCCGACTTTGAGAACAAAAAGTCAAACGCACATCCTATGAGATTAAACTTTGGTGTGTTGGAAATCAAGGGTGTTATTCCTAAGTCTTTGGCGCGCTTCATAAGAAATGGATTGTTTTTTATCCCACCCTCGGCGAAGTACCATATCGTGGTTATTTCTTCCACCGGCCAGTCAAAAAATTGCTTTAAATCTGTAGAAGTGAACCATTTTTTGAAGCGTTTTGGTTCTTGAATAATGTACCCTTCAGCTTCGCGAACGTCCGTTTTCGTAGATCCCCAATAGTGTTTGCGTATTTGTAATCCCGTGCAAATATCAATGGGTTCGCTATAATTCCATTGGATGTTTCGCGGTGTCAGATGATTTTCTATTGGTTCAGGCGCACGCCAATCAATCAGAAAAGCCCTGTCAGTAAGAACTGAAAGGTAAAATAGCGACGCTACAGCTCTGAGTCTGTTTCCATAACCACAACAACCTTGTCGAGTGCCAGGACATAGATACACGAGATATTTCTCTTGGCGACGCCTACTTAGAATATCGTCATGTAATTCACGGTATTTGTCCTGCCATCCACTTCCACATATCTCAACTGTCTTTTTACGATACCACGAATCAAAGTTGAATTTCGTCCTCGGTAGAGGACTTGGTGCAGTTGAAGATTTTCGTTGTAAATCTGAATACTTGATATTCTTCATTTCTCTTAAAGTTCCTTGAACTTTTCTGACCGTGGATTTCACACTTTTGGTTGGAAGATTTGAACTTCTCGGAATGACGTGACCTTTTCTTTGGAAACTTTCTATTTTTGAAAGTTTCGTTTTACTTCTTTTTGTCGGGATAAATAAGTCTTTCATCGAGGAAAAGAACGATTTATTCTTCAATTCTGGAGCAGTTTGTTCGCTTTTCGAGGATTTCCTCTTTCCGGTAGGCGGGGAAAGTTTTACACTTGCTTTCGAATTGATATGAACTTTTGTTTGTTTGGAACTTTCTGTGGTAAAACTATTTGCCATGTCAGAAAAAATTATTGTATTGTTAATATTTTTCATCTGTGAGGGAAGGGTAGTCTCAAGGTTAATTTTCGTTTCAACGACGACTGGTTTTGAACTCCTCCCATCTTCCTCTCTATTTTCGGAGCTACCGAAATACTGGATGACAGTATCAGCATTTAAGTTCACAAACTGCCCTGTGAAGGGAAGGAGAAAATACTTAATACTCAATACTAACATATGGCCCGTCTGACACCGCGCGCGCAAACCCATAGTAAACCAAAGTGTTTGGCCAGACGTGTTGACGTGAGCCGGTCCGGAAAAAGCCGTCTGGCCCTATAGAACACGGCGAAACCTTGAAGGGAAGCACAAACGAGCGCGCCCGTTCATTGCGTTCATATGATAAAATGCTTTTAGACTGAGTTTGGTCGAGCCGAACGGCATAATATTAAGCTCGCGGTCGTGACGCACGGACTTTCCCGTCCAGCCCTCCCACAAGGTCAATAAGAACCTAATATGTAAAGGTGAAGGCATAGTTTTCCACGAGTAGGTCTCTAAGATCATCTTATCGGTTTAATAGCTTTTTAAGCAGCAGTAACTGCTTCTCAGAAACTATAAGGTAGTGGGCCTTACCTTGTACTGTAAAATACTGCGTTGTTCCGAAATAGTAAGCAAGTATTCCCAATGCTATTAAAACCAGGGCCAAAAAAAGTAAAAGCTCTCGGTGGCATGTCCAGGAACTTCGGAGAATTTTATGTTGTCTGACCAATACCAATTCGTTTAAGTTAACTTTCCTAAAACAGTCAAAAAGCAATAAAATAACTTCGGTATGTTTGGATCAAGCAATCCCTGGGCGGGGAAGAACGAGGACCTTCCGAAGAAAAACCGGAGACTTTTCGGGAGATGGTGGCGGAGATATCGTAGCAACCGTGATATTTTATGTAACTTAAGAATGACTTGCGTGGTTTCAGACAATTTGTTTCTGAAAGCCTGAAAGAACGCCACCTAGCCACTATAACGTTCATACATGCGCAAAAGTTTGACCACTAAATATATTTGAAGCGTCTTGTCTAAGTCCTAAAGATCACAGTCGTCGACTGTACCCTTCATAAGAGCGCGTCGATTTAGTCGGTCAATAAATGCTTCGGAATGCCTCGATCAGTTCTTTGATTTAGAGTCAAAAGATTATTAGTTTTCAAACACTGTGTGTTCCGCCGGCATGCCTGCAGGATATTTAATAGGCGAATACTCAATCCATTCACCATAACTGTCGCTGATAATTTGCTCGATTGTAGATTGTTTTCAGTGAGTAAGACAGAAAACTCACCTCAACTCGTTTGAAGTTTCTACCATTCTCAAAAAAATAGTAAACTGGATTGAGGTCGCTGATTCGTGGTGAGCAAGGAATGTTACTGAGGCCAAGAATTCCTCCTATAGAACCTAAAGTATCAAGGAAGATCTATGTTCCCTCCTGACACGATTTGATATCAGTGGTCAAATGTAGCAAGGTGCAGTATTCATTGTCAACAGTCGTGGTTTTCTTTTTCAGGAACGGAGCTGTCAGGTTGAAATTTGCATAATTTCATCCTACTAGGTATGTTAATCACGTCCCTGTTTACTCAGATTTTAAAAATCATATCTTCGCCTTGATTGGTGCCTGCAGTGCAGCCGTCTTATTAGGGCAAGTTAAGGTTAAGAAAAAGTCACGATCGTTTATACGCTTGGCGGCATTTTCGTTTTAAGCATTCTGAAAATAAGCGTAGAAAGTTGTATGCAGTACTGCTGAAAACTTCGAAGTCATTCTTATCGAAAAACCAGTGGTAATTCTCTCTCAAATTCCTTGTCTGTTTGAAAAATGCTGCCATTGAGAAGATCAATCAAAATCTCCGAAGAGTGAATATAGGGAACGGTAAAGACTGACTTCAAATCAGTGACTGAAGATTGAGCCGCTTTAAATATTGCCAAAATTGGGAATACTTAAAATGGCTCCATTAATTTTCCTGTAAGAATTAAGGTTATGGCCTAATCATGATCCTTACTGGGAAATTAATAGAGCCGCTTTTAAGTACTCCCAATTTTAATAGCAAAGTCACGAAATTTCGGGCTTTCTTGGAGGAGAGTCTCAATGTGGTGATGGCTTTGACGGTGAACGGTCAATACCTTGGCCATTTTACAGCTAACGGTTTTTATCATTCCGTTGTTGTGACCAGAAATTTTTTCTATGATAAACTTTTTTAACGACTATCGGTTGAAATTCGTCAATTTTTACGCCTAACGGCTAAGGGGGAGAGGGGAGGGAATCTGAAAATACTAAAGGGTGGTCGATTAGCGATCACGTCTAGTGAAAATTGAACACGATGCGGCGTAGGGCCAAGGTCCCTAGGAGTTTACGTTTCGTGGGTCTACAGTTCGCGTTCACTTTTCCAGATCAGATTTCTTTCTCCCTTTGATTCAATTCAAGGAAAACCATTGACACTTACAACAAAGAACTACTAAATTTTAACACGTTAATTTTAATGATTGAAGTTAGCATCTGTTCAACTTTAGTCCGTAACTACTTTGGAGAAAGCTGAGCAATTAGATCCAAGAATTCGAATTGGATCTACACCCAAATCGACGATAAATTAGTAACCACTGAAAAAATTTAATTACAGCTATGTACAATACCAAGTTCCCTTACAAAAATAAACCCGACTAATTTATACACCCGTTTGTGCCCGGGTATCATATAACAGGCCAGGTTTTCATGGATCTACAGACATCGTTATAGCGTAACTTCGAGAAAAGCACCCGGAATAATACGCAATGTACCATGTTAGTCGGCGAATTGCGTGACATGAGCTATTATTACGGCTGTCAATTAAGTGGTCACGCAACGCTTGGTATTGCGGAGAAAATCTTTGAGCTGCTGTCCCATTTAACAACAAAGAAGGGTGGGACTCTGAGACTGTACAAAAGAAATTTACATGCTGTACCAAATTCATGCGGAAAGACTCGGGCAACAAACTATTATTTACAGGTGGCAATTTCTTGCCATAAAATCATCCGTTGATTTGATGAAACGCCTACAGGAAGACTACTCAACACTATTTAATTTCATGTGAATACTATCCCCTCCCCTCAAAAAAAGGTACGAACCGCCTGCCCTGCCCCCCCACCCCACCCCGCAAGAAATACATTGGGACTCTCATGTGTGGTTTGAAGGAACTACTTCATAGTTCGTATATCTAAAAAATTGAGCCTCAGTTTTTCAAAATCGCCTTTAACAATTGGAGTTTAAGCCCGCTATTCCTCAGTATCACCTTTTAATTTGGGCTCTCCTCTCCAATGCTTACTTTCTGTAGTGAGTTATGTTAGTACGTCAGTATAGACACCTACAGTCAGTTTTTTGAGTCTGTGAAAAACTGTTCAAAATACTTAAACGTAGGTAAGTGATAACAAGGAAAACTTGAACAAGCAACTTCAAGTCAATCACAAGAAGTATAAGAACATTTTTGTTCCATTTTTATCAGTTTCACTGCGTCAGGACCAAGGTACAGAAAATAGCACAAATACACAGACAAATAAAACATAAAGATGTGCCAATTCGAAGAGGAGGATTGCGAGAAACAGGCGTGGACTAGGAGGTGCAAAGAAAACGATAAACAAACGATTACTAGAAAATACGTCAATTCCTGCGAAAAAAAAGTTTCATCAAAATTAAATAAATATTCCTCCAGGATGGTCAATCTAAGATTCCCGGTGGGTCGCGTTCCATATCGTTGTAAATGAACCATGAAAAGTAGGTCGTGCACACAAAGTCGAAGCTTACTTGGCGCCAAAAATAAAACAAGAAACAAATCGCTTAGTTTAGTGGCTTGCCGCTGTACGGGAAATGAGCCCACACTCATTCCTTTTTTTAGTCTTGGGAGGATCGAAGTCCGCATTCGAGAGGACGGCGAACATCGAGCTAATATTGACAATAATAATAATAGTAAAATAATAATAATAATAATAATAATAATAATAATAATAATAACAATAATTATAAAAAGTTCTCGCAACACGACAAAAAAAAAAAACAGAAGACACAAGTCAAACCACAAAAGAAGAGTTTGTTTGCCTTATAGATTAAAGCCTCGACTTCGAGTACTCGACCCAGTTTTCTAACCGTGGGTTACTGGTTAGCAGAATACGCATATCATACTGTGACCATCGTCCCCTTAGCCAATTAAATGACATAGGGTCGGCTGCACGTTTTTGCTTCGATTTTTTTAAAGATACTTATACACATGGCCCTGGTTGAAATTATTACATATCAATTAAGTTTTCCTGCGTTTTTTTAGTCTATAAAAGATTGCAGAATTATGATTAATTGCTAAGAAACTCATTATGGAGAAATGGTTCTGTTTCTCTTTCTGCTCAAAAAATTGGCTCTAAAGATAAAAAGTTATTTGTAGTAAATGAGTACTTCACAACCACTAACTTCCTGTGTACTTAGCTTGCGTGTTTGGTTTAGTACCAGTAATATATTACTACTTGTCTATAATATAAGCACAAATTCTACGAGACCCACTTAAAAAGAATTCAAATACGATTCAATTGCTGCTTGCGTCGTCATCTAAGGCGTTTCTTTTTGGCTTTCGATCTGGAAGCTAAAAAAAAACAAAACAAATGACCATTAGAAAACAACAAGACTTAACAAATAAGATCTAACGTAGAAATTGCTCCAACGACCAAGCGACCACGGGAAGTTATCGACATCGCTGAATCTCGCAGTACACACACGATGCCTGTCATATAAAAGTTTGGTATATTGTAGCTTACTCGCGAGATAGATAAGTTAACATATTTATACAAATTCAGAACTGGCCAGGTTAAAATTTTATTTGTAATTTCAGTTTTTTCCTTTTTTCATGACACATGACATGACCCCGTATTGGACGCGCCGCTATGTGTCAAGAATTCGAGCAAACACTTACAACAAAAAGTTGATCTCCGTTTGTTTACTCGGCAGTTCACCGGCTGCTGTCGAGTACGAATTAGAATTCCGAAGTTTCATCGAAAAAAGAGTTATTGAGACGAGGTTAACTCACCTTGCCTACCTCGAAGACGTTCCCTCTAAATTAAAAAAACACAGAAAGCATATAATTAAAAGAGACGCTTAAATTCAAACCACAGAAAATTATCACCAGCCATTTCTAAAAGAAAAAAAAAAAAAACTCAAACATATAGAGCTTGTCTCAGGTTGTATTCCACTCACCACATCGAGAGCCTCTAAAGCCTCACTAATTGCTTGTTCCAACCCAATCCTTGCCTTCTTAGCCCTAAAATGTATAGAACTTTACATCAGACAACTAAAATAATACAGCGCTAGAAAGGTCCTGAGAGGTTATTCAATTCACGCGCAACTTCGGAAACGTTCGCTCATCAATTGGCGCACACTCGGGTTGTTCTTGGGTAATTTATCTACGAACGTCACTTACTTGTACTTTTTCTTGCGAGCTTTGTCGTCGAGTGTTCTAAGTCCTTCAGAGAGAGTCTTGAGTCTATCCACTTCAACTTGACTGAATGTATGGTCACCAAACCACATCACCCACCGCTGAAATATGACAGGTACAAATACATTATATCACATCGTAAATTTTGCGAGATGCGGTGGCCTGAAAACTAGAACAAGCTGTCCGACCGTTATAACTGGCCGAGGTGAATTTGTTCTTGGGAAATATCTCTCACCACCCTGGCCAGAAGTATGAACCAGTGCCTCTCTCTCCATCCTGATCAGGAGTGTGAATTGTTTGATAAACCAACTAGTGATCGAGCGAAACCTGTGGTGGACTGGACTCTAGAGCGAGTAGCAAATTTATTGGTCACCTCATATTGCAAAAACCGGGAAAGACTAGGCATGCTGTCCGTCGTTGGAACTATCTAAAAGACTCGTCGTTAATCCAGTTTCATCAAATTTCAGTCCACTTAAAACACAGTTGGTATAAAGGCCATATGAGATTGAATTATAGTAAAATGCTAAGATAAGAGACAAAAACAGTTCTCTGTTAAGGGACCCAACGAGTGTTATCACCTCAGGCTGAAACAACTTTCATAGAAAAATCAAAATTTTCATGAAAAGGTAAGCGAGAGTTTGGAATCTTGGACTAACTCGTAATTTGCATTCAGCCGCATTCTCTCAAGAATGCGAGCGTAAATTTACAGTGAATGGTATAGAAAATGTAGTCATTTCGGAATCAACTCAATGATCAACTTGACACTTCACGTCAACTTACAAAAAGAAATACTTTCCAGATACCTTTCCATCATCAGGTCTTCCTTTCCCAACCTCGCTTGCATCCACGACCTTGCCCGGCCAAGATGGCAGTCCCCTCGCCTGTGCCCATACAATATCACCGATATCAAACTGGGGTCTTGTAATGGGTACGGAAGGCCCGCGCAGACATTCTTGGTTATTGGGCGTGTTAGATGACAAGGGATTCGTCTTGACATTAGGAAACGCGTTGTCAGTGACCATTTGTACTGGAAAGTTAAAAGGAAAGAAAGATGTTGTTTTTGAGTTAGTTACTCGGGAAATCAAAATTCGTGATGCTCATAACCACAGACGAACCCATGAACTTTTGTTTGGTACTACGGTTGCCCCATCACATATCCTGCATTGGAAGCAAGCAATTAAGACACACACACATTCTCTCTCTCTCCCTCTCTTGTGCGCGTGCGCGTTACTGGCAATTCCGTAGAGCACCTGCACATGTAACAAGCAGATAAGCACCTCGGATACTCTCTGAAATTCTCCTACTTAAAAATTTAAGCTTATCTTATCCATCACAACCTTCCTTGTTCCTTTTTAAGTAACTTTCTCCCTCACTACAATGTCTTCACTTCCTAGATTTTATTTCCAGGTTTCCTCCTATTCAAACGTAGTTTTCTACGTCGTCTACTATTTGCTTATTCTCACCACTTTGGTCTCTTGATCTCTCTTTTTGATTGGCTGAAACGTCTCCGTTATACACCGAGTGAGACTGGCGCTTGTCGCTGACTGGTTCATTGTCGCTGTTTGCTAATCCTGCAAAAAAGTGTGCTATGAAGTGAACTTTATCAAATCGTATCAAATGAACAGCAGTTTACTTAATATACAGGCTGAACAATGACCAAACTGTATTTCGTCTCATATCTCCCAATGTGGGAAAACCCGGATTTAGGCCCTCTGACCACAGGATCTGGTCTGCAATTCTCCACCCAAGCTTCTAACCCTTTCCAACTAGTTTAATTGAGAGAATTTGGCATTAAATCACCATATCGCTTGCTTGCTGAATAAAGCATCAATTTCGTAAAAATAAAAAGGAAAAATAGAAAAAATCTCGCCCTAACTTCTGAGGTTTGAGGGTACAACCGATACTCAGAGTTCTATTAGAAACCATCTCTGGTAAATGGTGGCAGGATTATAACTTACCTCTGCTGCCGTTTTCGTTGTTTAAGTTGCTACATTTTTTGCTGGTTACATTTTCTTCCCCTGATTGGTGGTTTACAGGGGAAGGTGAATCGTTTTTTGACACCGTACGATCACCTATTTCATTGTCCTCCTCCTCCTCATCGTCTCTCTCTGGGCTGCAATACGCTTCTATGGCCTCACAAGATCTCTTCAGACCCAGTAGCGGATATGCTTCATAATACGCTGACTCATCATATTTCGCCTTTTTGGATTGATCACTAGAGTCACTATAAGAAGCTCTCTTAGGAGCGCAAGAAGTATCAGATGAAGACGTTTTCGTCGGGTGACTTTCATTCACACTTAACGATTGACAACGAGACGGAACGCTTTCTATGTTGCTTCTACCGCTTGAAAGGGATGAATCACTCTTTGGTGACGCGCGGCAAGCAGATACCCCCTGATTAGGAGGAAGCATAGTCAGTGGTGAGTTCAAGGGAGACGTAACTCCAGGAAGCCTGGGCGACGGGCTGAAACTTGGTGTTTTGGGCGCAGTCACAGACGAAGTACTGACTTCCATACAGCTACTTCTGCTTGATGGAACAGAAAAAGCACTTGAATTAGCCACACTGCAAGCCCCTGTGCTTGTACTCTCAGGAGTACTGCATCTTCGTTGATTTGTTGCTCCAGTTAAACTTTTAGTTCCACACCATGAAGATAGGTGTGGAGCAGGTCCTGATACATCCACCCTTTGACTACTGTGGCTTGTAGCCGTATGACTGGAGGGAGGAGAGAATGCACTGCCAGGATGTGGGGTGGGAGCTGAAGAAGAGTGAGTTGTACTTCCTGAGCTGGTGCTAAACGGCATCGCCACATACCCGGGCACGGCGTGGGAATCTGAGCTACTACAGGCCCCATATTGATGAGGTGTGGTGGCAGATGTGACGAAACTACAAGCTGGTGACGGCGAAGATGATGTCACGGACGGAGTTGTACTGGCACTTGGCGACGCAAAATTCACAGAAAACGGAAAGCGAGGATGGTTGACTTGGCCGAACGCGACATATGGCATTGCAGCAACGACAGCTGTCTGTTGTTGATGAGTGTTAGCTTGACTAACGCTACTAACAGAGGGTGATTGTGTACCGTATGATCCAGGTTTCGCCGTATTTAGTGGATATTTAACGGTGTAATCTCCAAGATTAAGAACTGTCTGCCCCATTTGACTGTTTCCACCTGATTGAGGATGCATCGTTCCCATCGATAACATCCTTTGTGCAGCAAATTGCACTGGGGCGTTGCCTTGCACAGCACCCCTTGGCAAAAATGGGGTGTACGCACTTGCTAAATGAGCCAGAGTTTGGGAAAACCTTGGAGACGCAGCTGGTGCAATGGGAACAAATGACTCAAATGCTGCAGCGATTGCTGCATTTTGATTATTGTAAGAGTACGACGCTACTGGGGTTGCCGCAGCAACAGCCGCAGCCGCAGCAGCTGTTGCTGATGGAGACGTTGCTGTTGTTGGTGCAGATTGACCAGGCTGGTTTGGCATAGATTGCGTTAAGGCAGCGGGCATCACAATGCCAAGCATATAGGGGTTCGTGGGGTACATCGTATGAGGGATCCCTCCTGGTGTATTAGATGATGCAGCCTTGTTCACATTAGTTGTAGCAAGAAATGTCGCTGGAATAGCTCCTTGGTAAAGTGCTCCATGAAGTTGATAAGCGCCCTTCAGCTGGCTTGAATCCACATTCATTTGGAATACTTGATTTCCGTTGCCTTGAAAGAAAACACCTCCCTGAGCTTGCGATGCTGTGATCTGCAAGGATGGTATTTGAGACGAGCCAGCTGTATGCTGCGCCTGTCCATAGATGCTCACAGGAGCTGATGTTTGAGCCGAACTTTGAGCCATGGTGGCAGCTGTAACATTCTGCTGTTGACTTGTTGTTGCAAGTGGCGCTTGGCTGCCAAAGGCACCTGACGAAATGGGGTATCCTGGCAGTTGTGGTGAAGGCCTGTGAGCTGGTACCTTCTGGGACACACTTGGTGGTAAATGACTCACTTGGACGCCATGAAGCAAAGCTGTTGTCACTTGGGTTGTTTCCTTGTTTGCTGCAGACTTACTACGAGAGGAAGCACTACTCGTAGACTGAGATCCTCTTGAACTGTGATCGAGTGCGGCATTTGTTGTGCTGGTAATATTTTTTACAGTAGTAGTTGTACTTGGTGAAGTTGAAGTAACAGCGCTACCTTGTTCATTCATTATTGCATCTTTAAGCACACTATGGAATAACGCTGGTGCTTGAACAGTAGTTGCGACACTTGGTGTAGACAGTGCGGGAGATTTCGATGCATTACTGGCTGCCAGCTTCTTCTCAGAAGAGGGAACAGAAGCAGCGGCAGTAGAAGTCGTTTGATATGTTCGTTGAATAAGGTCACTAACACCAGGTTTTGCGGCATCAGCTGTGGGATTGGATGCCTTCGCAGCAGCAGCAGCTTTGAGAGTCGCTGCAACTGTTTTTCTTGGTCCATAAGATTTCGCTGCTTTGCTGGTGCGTGGAGCAGACACTTTGGGTGTAGCTTTGACATCAGGAAGTTTATTAATATTGGCAACTGACTTTACACCCTGTGTGCCAGTTGAAATTGTTGTTGTGCTTGTGGACACCACTGAACTTGATACTGTTAACCTGCTAGGTTCCTTACTATTGGATGGCAAATTGGTTGAGGGAGTATTTGCTGCACCAAAGATCAAAGAACTAGTACTCTTTGGCAGAGTATTTTCTGTTTGGTCTCTAATCGGTTGTGATGCTGCAGCAACTGCTGTGTGCTGATGACTGACAACTACTGTGGTTGCAACAGAGGCTGTAGTTTTAGTAACTTCCATTACAGTCTGTCCCATTGTAGCCAAAGTAGTAACAGCTGATGTAGTTGCTGAGGCACTGTGGCTTGGAGCTGAGTTAACACTAGCTGTTGTAGTGGCTGTCTTTGATGGATGTGCTGTCACTGCTGCTATAGGAGAACCGTTTACCACACTTGTTACAGTACTACTCACCAACTTAGTATTCCCCAGGCCTGCTCCTGGGTTAAAGAGTTTTGAACTACTCACAATGGTCGCAAAGCTTGGCAAGGGGCCCTGTTCAACTGCAATGTTGGCTGGAACACTCTGGACAGGACTGTTGGCAATGGAGCTTGGAACAGGAAGAGGAATGTTGTGGAGTGGTGAGGTTGATCTGTCAAGGTCATGCTTTAGTACAGCAACTCTCCGTGACTTGGATAAGGGATTGCGAGGTCTTCCTGGACCTGAAAACAAAACCATCACGACAAAGCCAAGATAAGTTACAAAGTAAAAGGTTTAAAATCTGTGTGTTAACCCTTTAACTCCCAAGATCTGATAGTCAATTCCCCCCTCCAGCTATTACATATTTCCTTGTAAATTAGTTACAAGAATTTGGTGTTAGATCAAGACGACAACTTCTAATTGATATGTTTGAATATTCTCATTACCTGTTGGCTGGATAATGTATGAATATTGCAGGGAGAATTTAGATGTTAATCACTCCTGGGAGGTAAAGGGTTAATCACCCAAATACTGGTGACTAAGAAACAAGAAGGAGAGAAAGAGGAAAGAAAAGAAAAGCTTGAAACACATGACACAGCAAAATGGCTAATAAATTGGTAACAGGATTGATAGCGTATTTATTTAAAGCACTACTTAAAGAGGCAACCAAAAGGGCCATCATGGCAAGTAAGAAAAAGATTATCACTTTTCCTCAAATTTAATGACACTCAGTCAAAATACACTGAACGCTTGAAATAAACTGTAAACTATCATATAAAGGGGGTAAGTTTCCAAAGAAACTGTGGTACTGCATCGGTGGGAGAGTATAGCAGGTAATTTAGTGTGAACAACTGAGTTGAAAATGTAAATTGGCCACCATAAAGAGTAAAAAAGCTGACGTTTTGAGTGTAAGCCCTTTGCAATTGCTCTGATTGCGAAGGGCTAATGCTCGAAATGTCAGCTTTTTTGCCCTTTACAATGGCCAATTTGCGTTTTCAACTCAGTTGTTAACTCTAAATTACCTGTAAACTATCATAGTTTTTCTACAGCATTTTTGCCTATCAATGTTCACATACAATACCTCTTTTAGGGGCCACTGCTGAAAATCCTGACAGTTTGGCATCACTAGCTTCATTTCCTGTGGCTTCTGATGACTGCTGAAGGTTGTTTGAAACATCCAAATAGTCAATAACACAGTGTTTGCACCCTGATTGCAAAGGTTCTGCTCTGCTGTTCACTAGAATAGGCTTGCTTGGAATTCTTGCATCAAAGTTGAACACTTTGTGAATGAAAAAGGGACACTCCAGTCCACATTTACAGGTTCCATCTGTCTTGAGATACTCAATCACATTTTCTAAGGACCTCAATCGGCTGTTGTTTGGACTGAAGAGTAATGAAATTATTAGTAAAAATATTCTTTGCCAATTTTTCTGAAAGTATATTTCTGTTGGCTCTTTGCAAAATATTTCCTTGAACTTCAGAAATACCAGCAAAATAACAGTTTCACCCCTGAATCAAACATTAAGGTCATGAGAATAAAGGAAGGAAGGAAGGGATTGTGAACTCAAGAAGCTCTTGACTTTGAGTCAAATTCTCCTGTTAAGTAATATTGGAAATGTATAGAGAACTCATATTGAACTTACACACAGATGTTAGGGTGTTAATAGTTACTGTTAGCTGAGTACCCAAAAGGTCTTGAAGTTTTACTGAAGTGAGTAAATTTACTTAAACAACATGAGGAAATAAGTAGAAAAGATGTTCACGTGTATGTATTGTTTAAAAAAAAAATGACAAGATAATAAAAACTTAAAGTTAATTTAGGTAAACATATTACAATCAGTCTAAAGGAAAATAAGCCTGTTTATAAAAAATTCAGTGATGATCAGGTGGAAATTTTTTTAACATTTGTGTATTTATTATATGTTATGGGTACAAGTGATTTTTTGAAAATCTAAATGCAATCTGAGAAATTCAAATGCAGAGCCAGTTTAAACAAATATTTTACACTTTTTCTATTCCCACAAAAATTACTGCACAAGAAAATGCAGAAATTCTCCTCTAATGATTTCGAGAGGAAATAGGACAATAAGATAACACCTTTTCTAGTGTTTTCATAGACACTTAAAGAATGGACTTCATAACTTCTATTGCACTCTGTCACCTTTCACTACATTTTTCACTGGCCTAACAGGAACAAAATACTTTTCTCAGAAAACAGTAAAATGTAATCATTACAATAATAGTGCTTATTTTTTAACACAAACAGACCATGAATATACCTGTCAATTTTACTGCTACACAACCTTAAAAGTCAAAAATCATTTTAAATGGATTTCCAGTGATTACAGTAAGCTGTAATAACATTAGCAGAGAAAAGTCCATTATTGGAAATTGACATTAATTGTGACTGACAAACTGGGCTTGATATTTCAGAAATGATTGATGGAAACTCATTTAAGAAAAAAAAATTAAATGAATACTTTATCAATTTACAGATACATAAATACAAAGATTCATCAAAAGTGAAAATTACTTAATTAGATATTATAATTTGAAGGTCAAGCACCTATGAAAATGACTTTTTTTGACAGATGTTCTTAATGCAGTTTTTTCACTTTTCAATAAAAGCAATAATTGTAGTTTCCATGTCTGCCTTAATGACCACATAGAAATGGAAATAGCAATCATAAAACAAACACATCACGGCAAGAGTTCAGTGACAAATTTTTAACCATTTTTCCCAATCCTGCTAATTAAACAGATTATTATCCAACTGTGCAAAGTAGAGTACAAATAATGTGCAAATAGAGTACAAATATCCTGCAACATTGTGCAATTGGTTATTTTTTTACTGTAAAAACTATGTTTAACCAGTCCGCTTTGCACGCTACACTTTTCTATCCACTTTGCTTTTCCAGCCTTATGAGAAATGAGTAGAAAGACTTAGCAGAAAAAAAGCAGTTGGATGATTAATAACTTACTGGACATTTTGGTGTGTTGTATTGCTGAGTATTTTCACTTGTTATTTGTATTTTCACAAGCCTGTAGGGCAAGTCAAAATACAGCACAACTTGTAACAATACTCAGTGATACTATGCACCAAAACATCTAATACCATATATTTATAATCTAGTGCTGTTTTACATATAAATTGTTTGTCAGAGAGGTGAATTACAACTCAGATCAACACAATCTTTGTCCCATTTTCATATATTTGTCTCAGAATCTGGTTACCCCCAGTCCCATTTCCCTAGTTTGACAATACTGAACATGTATATTTAGTCAGCCAAAAATCAGGAAAAGTGTTTCCTTGTGTGTTCATATTTTTGTTATGGTGTGCAATAAATGTTATGTTGTTATTTTCTATTAGTAAATACTAGGATGGTCAAGTAAAAGGTAATATTCCTATGTGCTAAGGACTATTCTAGTAGGAGAGGCTATGCTTTAATATGTAAAATAAGGGTTTGTAAGGCCTTCCAATGCTACAATTGGCATGATTAAGAAAACAAAATTCCTTTTCTTCTCAACATATACCATTTCCACATGTTAAAATATATTGCCTGCTTTTCAACTTTTTATCAAAACTCAAATAACTAAGTTTTTCTCTTATACGTGATCCTAAAAAATTAAAGAAAAAAATTATCTTTCATTCAAACTTCATCCTAAAATCAGATCGATTAGTTATAAATATCAAGCACCGCGTTCGAGAAGAATGTTTGAATAAAGCCACGGCAATAAAAAAAATATCATAGAAACCCTACAATGCAAAAAAGGAACATTCGGTGTATGAAAATTTGCGAACAAAAATATATCGATCGCAACAGATACTCGAGGGCCGGCAGAAGTAAATTCAACGTAGAAACGCCGAAGAAAAAAGTTTTGTGGAATCAGATTTTGGTTTAATTTAAGACTTTTAGACTGTATTTGCTGAAATTCAATTTGTTTATTATGCTCCGACAGAGCGCCGTCAAATAATAATAATAAAGAGATTTCATTGACAGTTCACAGGATGAGTGAAATTAACCAAGTTTAGGCTACTGCTCAGATGAAGTTAATCTTTCATCGATTCACACGCAGAAAAAAGACAGTGGATGAAAAAGCCACAAATACGACATACCTGATGTACAAAATGGAACCATTTTCAAGAATCCGGCTCCAGCCTCGTGGAATTTCAATGCATTTAGGTCCATTGATGGCTTGTTCACTGGTTCCTTGATCACTCATGATAATCCATGAAAATATCTTATCCTCTTAATCGAGTGTACAAACCAACCCTCCAAGAATCCCACAACGTGACATTTAGCGAACAATAGATGCTTCGATAGCGGGAACTCGCTGGCGGTAACTGTATTCAAACACAAGTTTCTGTGGTGCCCAAAGCGAATCCGCACGCTCAGTGTGACCATCCACAATGCATTACCCCTCTAAACAGAGATGGCTTTAACTCTTTTAGGTCGTTATACTGGTCAGTATTCAAAATATGACGCCAAATTACCTATACTCACATGTGAGATGAAACAATTCTCCACTAGAAAAAGACCGCCATATTGGATATGCGTGTCGCGTTCTATATTCACGGGGGCCTCCGCTGAAAGAAATATTTGATACGCTGGCTCGTATTCCGAAGCCTTTCACTATTTTTCGTTTTTTCAAATAGCAGGATCGTCATTACCTCTACCTTCGTCTCCTTTTATTCAGGAAAATGCCTTTTACCTCGAAAAACCCTTTTAAAACACTACGGGAAGCTCAGGTAATGACCTCTATTCACCAGGGTAGGGAGTGGGGGGA